CGACGGAGGCCACAACGGTGGGCACTGCCACAAAAGCGAATCAAGATGGCGTCATTGAGGGGCAAACTATTAATGCGATCGGTTAGAATCAACCCAAGTCATGCCTCTGTCTCCATCAGTCAATGTGTATTGGATTTTTTACAGCGCGGAGACTGAAACAGCCGAGTCAGCGTTGGACGAGCCGTCTCATCGTCTCCCGCTCAGACACAGACAGTTAAGTGGTACACTCACCCGATGCAACAGTTTGCCCATTTCCAGGATGTTCTTCTGAACGCCAGCCTCAAACTCGCTTGCGAAGGAGGTGACCAGCAGACCAACCACGTCCTTCAGTTTTGTCTGCAGATCCGTCAGCTGTTGTCGCGTCTCCTCCCGAAGATTGAATCTTAATGGGAAAAAAGGTTTCACCAGATAAGGCGGAAGCCTTGTAAGAATCAGAAGAAGAAGAAGAAGAAGAAGAAGAAGAGGAATCTTAGTAAGCTTTCAACTAAGTTTCTGATGCCTCTACACAGGAGGAGCATCCCCCATCCACCTCGGTCGGATGGAAGTCAAAATCCAAGCATTAGTTATCTTTTCTTCTGTTTGTGGGATCATTCGTTTTTTTGTGCTGGATGCGATCTGAATTGGCCCAGAGTGCGAAACCGCCTGCAGGGCACTTAACACGGAAAGTTTGAAACAAAATGGGGTGGGGTGGGAAGCCGCAAGGCAAAACTCACTCGTCACCCTCCATGGCCTCGTAGAGTTTCTCCAACTGGACACGCAGCTGCTGTGTGTTGTTTATTAGGATACAGGCTGTGCGCATGTCCGACTTGAAGCGGGGGAAGTCAGCTTGAACACTGTCCGCGTAGGCCAGAAGCACTTTCTCGACAGTCTGGTGGTAGACACAAAGGCAGGGGGGAAGGGAGAGAGAAGAAACACGCATAAGGTCAAAAGTAAGGAGGATTTAAACAACTGTCTATAGAAGTAGTTGCCACTTTCTGTCTTCGAATAGCGCTAATGCTGGTTTAGCCGGCGGCAATGACTAGTGCGGCTAAAGCTCCATCGTAATCGAAGGGGTTCCCCTGTCTGGATGGAGCTCCATGCCCGAAAACTGAGTCCGACTTAGTGCCTACAGGATGTCAGAGAAAGGGTGCCGCGGATAAATCCGCCTTTGGGTCAATGGAGTGTGTGCAACTGAACCACCTGCGACGGAACCAACGGTTGCTGTCTCAGTGGGCGTTGGGTTTCTCATTCAAAACGGAATCCATGAAGTGAAGTCTCAGCATTCTGCACTCAACAGTCCTCAGACCGAAGTACAGGAGGACTGTGATCGTAAACTTACGGATACGAGCGCTGTATTTTATCATCACTTGACCAATTCGTAGCCACCCCCTGTTCTGACCCGGTGTGGTACTCTGAAATCACACGAACCATTTGTGTACTTGACTGTTGTCCCGATCACCGGGGAAGAAATGTAGTAAAAACCCGCGAGTCATTCTCATTGAAAACCTGACAAGCCGAGTCCCATCAGCAGTTGCACAGCGGCCAGTAATCTATGAACGGGAGATTGGAATGGCCCTTTCTGGTTCATTAGCCGTCATCAACCAGTCATACTCAACCCCAAGCGGTGCACCATCCGAAGTTCGTACCCGCGGCTACCATTCTAACCACTGAGTGAGTGATGAGTCACCTAGGGTTGGCCGTGACGGGCTGATGAGAGCTAATGAACTAGAAATGGCCATTCCAGTCTCCCAGCCTAAGTGATCGCGAGATGAACACCGAAAAAGCTGAGGGACCTGCCATGTACAATGGAGATTCTTCTCCAGTTGCATGTCATGTTCTGCCAGTTTCGGCTTCGGTCGACTCTCAGTGGTCATCTATTCTGACTGTCCAGTGATCTGAAATCGGAGTCCCCGGCCATTCCAGGGGGAGGGATAAGCATTTTGGGGGCATGGTCCCTCAATTCTAACTAGTGAAGTGTTCCCTCCTCATCAATATATTAAACGCAAAGAATGGAAATTAACGGGTGTGTTGGGTTGTAGGCATGAAGGTCTCACCTGTGCAAACATATGCATGTAGTTAGCTTCCACCGTACGATCTGGACATTCCAACTTGCGGATGACGTCGAAGCACTGGTTGAGTTGAGTGAATACGTCGACCACTGAGTTAGAGTAGAGGGCATGCTCGCTGGAGCGTTGGAAGCCGTCGCGTTTGTCTCGCTCATACGCATTGCGTAGGTAGTTTTCGGAGACCTCATCATTCTCCTCCAGCCACAACGTAACGAGTGGTTCAAACCATCTGGCAGAAAGAGGGGAATTGAGATTAAGTAAATTCAGATATGTATATATGTGGCCACCCATTAACCAATGTTAATATCCCTGATCGCAACCGACAAAGCAACGAGCCCGTGGTTCAACGGTAGAGTGTTGCACTCCGGTTGGAGTCCCGGATGACCAAACCCTGAGATTGAGTATGACTGGCTGATGACAGCTAATAAGCCAGAAATGGACATTCGGGGCTCCCTCTTCTTTTTCGGTTCCACTTCAGCATATACACATGTATATAAGCCACAACACTGTTGTTCTACTGGTTGAGCTGGATATTTGACTTAGTCATATAGTGATGGACTCAATGTCCAAGGAGCCTGGGTTAGAATATATATATATATATATATATATATATATGGCCACTCATCCAGATATGTTAACATTCCTGATCGTGACCGACAAAGCAACGAGCACGTAGTTTAATGGTAGTGTTGCACTCCGGTTCGAATCCCGGATGACTAACCCCTGAGATTGAGTATGACTGGCTGATGACGGCTAATAACCCAGAAATGGACATTCCGTTCTCCCTTTCCTTGTCGTTTTGCACTTTACGTGTATATAAGCTATGGCACTATCGGTTGCGCTCGGCGTGTGATTCAGTCGTATAGCGTTGAACTCAATGTCCAAGAGTCTCAGGGGTTAAGCATGACTGGCTGATGCAAACAGACCAATCGAAAAGTACCATTTCAATATCCCTCGTCCCTTCTGAAAATCCTTCTACTGTAAAAGTACGCTCACCGATTAGGTTTAGAGACATAAGCCTCCCATTGTGTTTTAAAAGTCTACCCATACTCCCGCAGGTGGTCGCACGACGCTAGACTGTGAGCCATCACAGCTGGTGAACAGTGCAAGTGTTTAGTTTTTTATAAGATTTTAGAACCATGTTCGCAAATAACACTCATTACTTTCGTATTAATGAGTCCCAGTCAACTGCACGATTTGCCAACACATCAGTACCATAGGCAGGATTCGACTAACAACCATGACGGGGGGTAGATACTGCAGATACTGGCGTATTAGTCCACATAGGCATAGCGATTCCGCCTTCTGATTGGCTGCCGCTTCTCGACCATTTGGAGGGCTCAGAGATATGGCCAAAGCAAGCGCGGCGCCCATGCTCCGTCCGACAACCGGGCCAAGTTAATGTGCGCCACACCCCCCGCCGTCTCACCCCTCCTCATGGATTTGCAGCCTTGCTGTTAAAAGTACACAAACACGCATCAAGGCAGCAAACAGAGGACACGATAGCGCTCATGCTTGCGGCGCA